GGGGCGGGGGGGGGGGTGGGGTTTACGCCTCGGCCGTCCTCTCTCCTGCCCCCGCCGGGCGGGGAGGGGGGCGTCGGCGACCGCCGCGCTTCCCGCCGCCCCTTCCTTGAGCTGGCCGGGCCGCCGCCGCCGCCGCCCCAGGCATAGAGGCCCCTTTTTCCCTCCCCGCCGGGGTGTTGTTTTTTCCAGGAATGTGCGGAATCGCGCTGCGTCCGGCCAGCCGGCGGATACGCGCACACTGCTTCCATTCACGCCGGCGCCCGAGACGGGAGCAACCGCACCGCGGGCTGGCTGGCTGGCACCCCGCGGGCAGCGGCGAATCCGCCCCTGGAAGAGGCATCGCGGCCGGCGGGGCCAGGGCGAAGGAGCGCCTTACTTCCCCGGGCCTGGTGGTGCCCTCCGAGCGAGGCGCTGGACTGCAAGTGCCATCACTGGCCGTAAACCGTCATCAGGGCCGGCTGCCAAGTCCAGAATGGGAGGAAGGGAGCGGTCCCGCCCTTCTGGAGAGCGCCACGTTGGGGAAGGCGGATGTGGCAGGACCGAGGAGAAGGGAAAATCCGAAATGTTTTCGAGTCTGTTTTGCCGAAAGTCAGGAGAGTCTGGAAGCACTTTTTCCATCTAATCAATTTTGTTAAATTGTACAGCATTAAACATTTTCGTGAGCTGCAAGAAAGCTTCTCCCTTCAGATAAAACCTGTTAGATGAAAAAGATGCTTCCAGACTCCTGATTTTTTTGCCACCATAGGCTAATGCTCCTCTCCTACAGGATCTGGGTTGACCCTTTCACAGAAGTTCAGGACTGAAAATGGATCTTTCAAGAGCAAGCCTCTGAGATGCTTCGTAGCGTGTTCTCCGTGGCTATGATGCCTCAAAGCAGAAAGCTTGCACTCAAATGGAGCAGGCTGAGTTGTCAAGATTTTCCTCTCCTCCTCCCTATTCCTATCCCTTCTTTCTTGCCAGGAAATTTACAAGGAGGGAGTGCCCCCCCCCCCCCTGCCAGTCTGAAGTGGATGCCACCTCAAGGTGCCTGTACAGGGCAAGAGTACCACTGAGCATGTGAAAAATTTCCAAGCCCCTCACTTTGAGGCTAGCCCAGTCAAGACATCTGGGATGTGCTCTGTGTGTCTGTAAAACCTGTTAAAAAGAGGTGAGGAAGATGAGTTGCAGGTTGCTGAAACCTGGCTTGGAAGACCTATCCCAGCCTTTATCCTCAACCTCCTTTGCCGAAAGGTGTTTCTAGTCTGGGAACCATCCCCTTGCCTCTCCTCTCTCCATTAATGGGCCCTCAACCCCACTCTTGCTTAGATTTGTGTTCCTCCTTTCATTCAGCAGTTCAAGGTGGTGTGCATAGCACTCCCTGTTTTTCATCACAACAACCACTCTGTCAGGTAGGCCAGCCTGAGAGAGTGCGACAGACCCAGAGTCACTTTCCAGAGCTGAGCAGAGAATCGGACCTCAATCTCCCTGGTAACAGTCCATCCAATTCCAAGGAATTTAGTCTTCCTGCCTAGGCATATCTAGATTTATGCTTCACTCCATCACCACCACCACAACCCTGTCAGGTGGGCCAGGCTTGTGGGGCTGGTCTTCTGCTCCTTCTCCAACGCTTTGTTGCCACCTACCCTGGCTTTTGTTCCGGGCCTTCCTGGAAGAGGAGTGGATCTCATTCAGGGCGACGTGCAAAATCAGGACGTGCCCCAAGATTGCTGTGCTTGGCCACGTGGCTCCTCCCTGACCCCATTGCCCAGGTGTCGGTGCCCCGGCAAGTTAGTGATTAATTTGCTCGGCAAGGGCAGCAGGAGTGGGATCTGAGGCCCTCGGTGCCCCCCCAAGAGGTGGGCATTGTGTTTGAGGAGTAAACAAATCCTGGGGTCATGGACTGCCCTGTGTGGGTGGCAGTAAAAGGTAAAGGTTGGAGCCACAGCCTGGGGCTTCTTGGAAGGGGGTCTTCAGGAGCTAAATGGAAGTTGAAATTAGTGGGAGGGAGAGTCCTCTGCCCCTCTCTCCAGTTGCTCTTCCATATCACAGCCTGCTCATAAACAAATGCCACACTGTGTAACCTAGAACACTTGACCCAAATACGATTCCACTTGGTAAAATTCTTAGCAAGACCTCCTTTCTTCATTTATCAGCAATTGGCCTTAGGTTTGAGTTATCCAAGTACTTCAAAATCAGCCAGGTGTGATCTTACCTTGGAAAGAAGCTGGAGTCTGGCAAAGAGCTCTGTTTCCATTTGGACATTTTAATGCATTTACAAAAGTGTCCATCTGCTTTTTCAAAGAGTCTTGTGGTCCTCTAACAAACCAAGATTAATTTCCTTGTTCCCAGCACTGCATTCAATCCCTTGAAGGAGGGGAAACTTACCAGCAAAATGCATGACTAGGACAGCTTGGAAAAGGGACACCCTTTTCAGTTAGACTACTGGTTTTCAATGAGGATTAAAGACCCACCTTTGAAATTATATTCTCAAATTAAATTGCAAGATGAAGCTACATTTATGGCCATTTTTGTGTGTTTTCACATTAGCCAAAGCAGTATTAACTATGCATTTTAAACTGATACCTTTATTTGTAACTCTTGTTCTTTGGATGTGCTGGATTCGAAAGATTAATGAAGTGTTGAAAACAGAGGAAGGTTGCAAAGAAGATGGTCCTCTGTTGCTCTGGTTTTTTTGGAGACTTAAGATAGAAGGGGTTAGAGCAGATTAATCTTAAAATGGTAAGAGTTTGCAGATCTGGGGTAAATGGAAACCCAGTTCTAATTCTGTCTTGAAGCAAATTGAGGTTCTGCTTCACAGAAGACAGTTAGTTGTCTGAAACCATTCTCTGTCCAAGTCTGGTCTCAAGATAAAAAATCACCAGAAGGCAGAGCAAAAACCATGAAATTGCTGGGCCTGTTAGAGGCTGAGCAGGCAATCCAGGCCACCCTAGCCACTGTGGTGAGTTGGGTTGCCTTTTATTTTAAATTGTGATAATCCAAATGTTTCGATCATACACACTTGTGTTCTCTGTTGCTTTTTTTCCCCTTGAGTCAGTTAATACATTTTCCTTATGTTGGGAAATGTGCAATTGGCCACTTTACTCCAAATAGAAAGCTAGCATGTCAGGGAGAATGATCTAGCGTTCACCCTGAAATGTTGACTTGTGTGTGTGTGCGTGTCCAAGGAATTTGAAATGGAATGTAGCACGAATCCATTGCCTTCTCCTACAGGTTGTACCAGCTAACAGATACTTTCTGCCAAGGAGAAAATTTTCCCCAGAAGTGTGAGTGGGGGAGGACTCTCAGTCATATGTTTCTCCAAGCCACCTTCAACTTTGGGAAGGTGAAATGACACGTGGAGCTAAGATGGAATCACAGAGTTGTTTCTTCACCCTAGACCTCCAAGTTGTATCTTCCCTGGGAAATTAAGTAACGAAGCAGGAGCAGATTTGTGTTCCAAAACCAAATTCAGTGCTCCTTCCTACTCTTTCCCTTCCACAATTTGGCTTAATTTGAGCCCTGTGGGCTTTGTTTCCAAGGACTCCCTAACAATTGCAGGAGACAACAATACCCTCTCCCCATTTTGAGACCTGGAAACCATATGATGGAAGTTGATGACCTGACCTAATCCATAAGAGTTTATCAAGAGAAATCAAAGGAGGAAAAACTGTCACAGCAAAGGAGAAAAATGGGGAGATGAAAGCCCACGGGTGTCCCGGAAGCAAAGCATTTATTGGCCTGACTAATTCCACATTAATTCATCTTCAGGTGCACTTAAAAAGCAAACCCCTTACATTCTCTGGAACATATAGAGAATAATGCTTTGTACATATTCTCCAAACGCTTTAGGCCTCTCAGGATTTAAACTGGAAAAGCATTGGCAAATGTAATATTTATTTTTGTGCACTCTTAGAATTTTATCTGTTCCTTTTTTTTCTTCCCAAATAGCCCATCCCAGAAGAAAAAGGCATGTTGTGATCTCACAAGGGTGGGGTGGAAGTTTTGGCCCACTGTTTCTTATTCCTTGTGAAACTGGCCCTCCTAGTTGCTGACCTGCGTTTTATAGACCAAAATGGATTGGCAGCAACAAACATGTAACTTCCTCCACCTTAATCACATTACTGGTTAGTACAGTAAAGCAAACACTTGCCTGTGCTAATGTCCACTAGGTAGTTCTTAAAATACATCACATATATTATTTAATAATCCCATTGGATGGTACAGCAAACATGATAGGTTCCCCTTGAAGTTAGAAAGCCAGATGGGGCATGCCTACAAATTTTGCCTCCCATTAAAGCTTTCTTAAAAGGTTTTGTATAATCAGTGGGGAGAGAAGAGCAGAATTAAGAGTTTGCCAATCTACTTGATCAAACTCCCTCTGAAGGTTTTATTGATGGGTAATTTTCTAGGGAACCATGTTTCTTTGCATGCCCTGACATAAGGAATGAAAGAAGGATAGGATGGTGACCATAAAGTGAGATAAGGTAGGAGTAGCTGTATATAAGTCATGCTTGGCTGGTCAAGTTATCATTACTGTAGACTGCAATCTAAACAAAAATTAAGAAAGTTTCATAGATATCAGTGTTACTTAAACACACCTAATTTTTCCTGGATAACACTTTTCTCTTAAAATCATTTCTGTGATTTGGATGGTAGATCACATGTTACTTGAAAGGGGAAAGCAAGATTTCATGGTGGATCTAGGCATGGTTGATTTGGAAAAAATGGTAATGGTTATTTGTTATCAATAATAATAAAACTATTATAAGGTCTTACTAGGGATTACGAGTCATTTTTGATTATATCCCCAGGGCAGATTATAAATGTTTCAGGGGAAAACAATCCTGCATTCCATTTTTGTTCTAATCACCCCTACTAGCAAAAGAGAAAGAGAGACACACAATTGAAACAAAGACACTGCCCTGAACTGTCTCTAAAGTATGATATATTAAATCAACTCTTACCCTTTTCCCAACAGAAAGCACATGTATTTAAATATAAAGCCATTACAAAAAAATATTTGAACTATATTCCCTGTTCCTCTTCAGTCTGTGATCTAAATTGTCTTTGGTGTAACCAAACCCCCTTCTGTATGTGTAACAATGGAAGTCCCCACCAAGTATGATTCTGACCTAAATGGGTGGGTTTGAGTATCCCAAGACAAAATTTCAATCATTGACTGTAACATCTTTGTTGAGACAGCAAAGTCAGATGTCCTGGGCTGCAGAACAGCCTCCAGCATGCTCCAGATTTCAGAATTTCCTTTTCTGTCTCCTTCATTTATGTATGGACATTCACCATACCTCCACTCCTGAAGAAATAAAATATAGTTAATAACTGAAACATTCAGAGTGGGGCCCCTCAGTTTGAGATGGTGGGTTTTGCCCTTTGGGAATCCATGCTGACCAATGACATTCATGTCAACGTGAACAGAGATCTACAGCTGGCTTTAACCAGTCTGCCCTTGGTTGATAGCAGCAAGGCATGGTACTTTTCTTTCTTGCTGTTCCCTGTTACTTTGGGCACATGAGTCTGTTGAAATAGAAGGTATTGTTGACCATGATGAGATCTGGAAAGCAATAGGGTTCATCAGAATCTGGTAGACCAGGCCTCGCGGTATGTTCCTTTCCACTACTCATGTTGTAGCTGGCTGGCGATGGGAGGGAACATCTCATGGATGGTCTTTCTGGTGATTGTGGCAGAATTTCTTTTATCTGTCTGGTGTCCTTCCTTTTTATTTTGTGGTAGGGCAGCAGCCTTATGAAGCGTTGAGCAAAGAACGGCTATAGAGGCTTTGATAGTAGGAACCGGTCTCACTGAGCGAGGTGGATGTCTCATAGGTATGTTTACTTTCCACTGAGTGTGGGGAGTTGTAGCCACTGTATGCCATGGCCTGCTCATAGGACTTCAGGTCAATCTTGTGGCTTTGCTCTGTGGACATCAAGTTGGTGATGGAAAAAGGATGATTGAAGTTGAACTGAGGGTCCATTTTGAGATCATTTGGAAGATCCAGGTTGGTAATGGAGTTGGCAAAGTAGTGACTATTCATAGATTGTGAGATGGGAGCTGGGGAGGCCTCAGAAGCTGGAGATGAGCCCTGAGCCCCTGAGCAATCAAGCTGAACCAAACCTCTTTGCTCCTCAGAACCATGGGAGGTGTCTGAATGGCCGGACTCTGCTCCTTCTGAACCAGGGTTGGGACTCTGGCCTTCCTGAAGGCCTTCAGAAACCTTTGAGCCTTGCTCTCGAGCATTGGAAGCCTTAGAGTTCGTCTTCTTGGCCTTGTCCTCAATTTTGAAACGCTTCTGGCGTCTCAGATAGCAGCCATTTTCAAACATGTTGCCTGAATTGGGGTGGAGGGCCCAGTAGGAACCCTTGCCTGGCTTGTCTGGGGAACGGGCCACTTTGACGAAACAGTCATTGAAGGAGAGGGAGTGGCGGATTGAGTTCTGCCAGCGTTGCTGATTCTCACGATAGTAGGGGAACAGATCCATGATCCACTGGTAGATCTCATTGAGGGTCAGCATTTTGCTGGGAGCCTGCTGAATGGCCATGGTTATGAGGGAGATGTATGAGTAGGGTGGCTTGGCATGGGTCAGTGTGCGCCGGTAGGACTTGTTGATCTCTTTGGGCCTGCTCATATTTGAGGGAGAATAGCCCAGAGGGGCCATTGATTGGCCAACATTTTGATAGGGTGACAGTGAATTGAGAGTGGGTGCCTGGGCTCCCAGTGGAGTCAATACTGGGCTGACAGGAGATGCCACTGTTGGAAGACCCATGGGGCTGGTGGTATTGGCCAGTCCCGTGACAGAAGGGCTGCTCAAGCCGCTGTTTGGGTAAGTCATATTTATAGAATTGGGAGAACTTAGAGGATTCAGGGTCACATAAGAATTAATTGGGTTCATCGGTCCCAAACTGGACGTCATTGTGCTGACTGAAGGAAATACCTGAGGAAAACAGAAGAAAGACTTTGTCAAAAGATAGACTTATGTTCCATGGGGAGAAAGTAATAAAACAGGCAGAAAATCCATACATGAAGCTTTTCCCACTGTCAGGATAAAATCAGGGAGGCAGCTGTATCTGCTGAAAGTTGATTTATGCAGCTGCTAAAGAGATCATCTCCTCTAGTTGTAAAGGAGCAGAGGGTTAGCTGCTGATCATAAAAGAAACTTAGATAGACTTGCTGGTCTCAGAAGAGAATAATAGCACAGTTTATCTAGGGAACTAGAAGGATAGAGCCCTACTGACCCATAAGCGGTAGCCCACTGTTGTTTCATGGCATTTACAGAACAGCCATCTCGGTTTCATTGAATGGATCAGTCCATCTTTTTTTCTGTGAGGTCTTGCCATATCCACCACTAATTGGAAGACCTTTTTTTCTGTTCCCTCTTCCAACAATACCAAAAAAATGCCACCAAACTATAATTCTGAATGTGATGGAGAAATTTAGTAAAAGCATACCTAAAGTGCAACCATATTAATTATATTTAATTTTCATTAACAGTAAATGTAACAAAATCAAATCCAGTTTTGGCCCTGTATCACCCAGTCCTTCTCGAAACGCAGTCTTCAGCCCCCTGGCCAAAAGCCAAGTTCAGCTCTTAGAATAGAAAAGATTGGGACCTTTTGTCGTAAATGGACTGGTGATGCATAAGTTCAGTAATTTCCCATTTGGGCATAATCATGGTTATCCAATATTTGTTTGCTCAGAACCATGGGAGGGAGGATTAGATGCTGATGTTTGAAAGAAAGCAGTAGCACCATCACCCACCCACTGTTGTTTATATAAGATAGGGACTTAATTGACAATGTTATTCGTCTTCCTTAATTAATGGAGAGTTGCTGCCAAGGGCTAGGTGAAACCAGTTAATGCAGGTTGGTGCCACGCTGACCGTTGGCTGTATCTGCAGAACAGCAAGAAGGAAATGTTGAATTTGCATAGGGTTTTGTTGAAGACGGGAAGCGCACCTGAAGAGGTTAGTGCTGGATGGGAAAACCCAGATTCAAATCCCAGCACACTTAGGATATTTCCTGGGCCTGAATTGTGAGCACTAGGCAGAGAGTTGAAGATTAGAAAGGAGGGCACACGGCACACGGATAGAAACAAATCAAAGTAGCTTTCTCCAGCCCAAGGTCTTCCAGATGCTTTGGGCTACGGTGCTCAGAAGTCACAGCCATTTCTTAACCCTGGGATTTATAGTGGCAACGTGTCGAAGGGGACCACTTTGTTGGAAACTGTATGATGGCACCCCCTCGCCCCATCTCCTCAAGGAAGGGGATTCTCAGACCTTTAGAGAACTTCAGTTCCCAAGTTTCCTTGAGCCAGTAGAGTGCCCTCTCATTCAGCCTGCAACCCAGGGGACTCTCATGTTTGCAAAGTAGTTTTGGAATATTCAAAGCAAATTCTGTGCAATAAAAGTATCAAGGAGAGCATGTTTGAAATTAACAATATTAGGTGTGGCATACAGAAAGTGAATTGAGAAAAGACTCTAGTGGGCCTTCCCATCTCAGGGAAGTGAATGAGGGAAGATTTGGGACAGAAAAGACAGTTCTTGTTAACACACTGTGGAATTCATTTCCACAGGACATAGAGGTGGTTGCTGTTGTTATTACATTTACATTTTTTTGCACAATTGTTCATACAAGATTGCAAGCAAATGACAATCAAAGCTAATACAAAATATCAAGCCCTGCAATAAAATCAGTGCAATTGCAATCATTAAAACAAGGAACAGCTAAAAACTTGGCAAAAGAGATGTGTTTTTGCTGTTTTGCTGGGGTCAAATATACCAGCCTGGGGTTGGGCAAATTAATGGTGGTAGAGGAGGCTATTAATAGCTATTCATTATTATGGCAATATATTTTTTACAGTATTGGAGACAAAATGCAAAGTGCACACAAGGGGTTGGTTTTTGCTTTAGGGCTTCCCGGAGACGCCATGCTGGATGTTGGCCTGATCTAGCAGAACCCCCTCCTTATGTTTTTATCTCAGTGGCTGTCACAGTGGTTTGGTAACGTGGGTTACTACTGCTGTCCTCTTTCTGCAGATATCAGCTGGCTGGTTCAAGGTCAACTTGTTAACCAAGCTGACATCAGGACTGGAGATTTTCCATCTTACTGTTAGTCCTTCTTCAACCTGTTCCCCTACAGTTGGACTACAGTTCCCATCACCACCAGCCAGCGTTGGCAACACCATAACAATTGTGAAGATTGGCCCTTGTAGTTCAACATATGTGGAGGATCCTAAACCCTGAAGTCCAACACTGCCCAACGATCCTCCCTTTTGTTTCCTGGGCTGGATCAATCTAAAGACACCCACCCAAATGTTTGCCTTATACCCTTAAATAACCTGTTTCCCTGCTCCACCCAGCGCCTTTGCAGTGAACAGGAGTGGCACAAGCATTGTGTTGCAGGGTAATGCACACTGAATGTGGGGCAGAGTTCCCCTGGCATTTAAGGGGAACTAATGCTTCACAAAAGGAAAAGGAAAAGGCTGGTGGGAAGGATTTTCTTCTCCCTCAGCTAAGACCAGGCTCACAGGTTCATCTGGGACAGGGAGGGCTGATGGTCCTGCTCTGAGACAGGAGAATGACCACTTCTTTCTGATGCCCACTTCCCCAACATGGTGCCCTTCACATATGTTAGACTACATCTCTCATGATTTCCCTGTCAGCGTGGCTGATAGTAGCTATCGGAATTATGGTCTGTCCCATCTGAAGGTGGCCTGGTGGTCAAAAGAGGCCTTGGTAGAACCTCCTGTTTCATGTGTAGCAGAATATTTCTATCCTGGGTGTTTCCCAATCAGTTGATATTAGGCAGCAAGGCCAGGCCAGGCTTCTGCCTAATGCCATGTTGTCAGGTAAGGTCATAAATCACAGGTAGCCAAAGTGACCCTTTCTTAGGCAAACGTTTTGTGCACCTTTGACCAAAGGTTGGAAAGTAGGGGGCCACTGAGCTATATAGATAAAAGGTCTGATTCATTAAAGTGCAAAATACAGCCCTGGGGAAAAGAAACCCCCAGCCTTATTTTGCTCCTTGTGCTTTGGAAAGAACATTTTGGAGAGGCCTCAAATGACGTTTGGTCCTCAAGCGGTAACTCATCATCTAAGAGCAAAAAGGAACTTTCTATTGACTCCAGCGTGGGTTCTGTTCCCAGCAGTTAATTTAGTCTTGGATGTATATTTTTCAGTTTGGTTTGGTGGGCCAAACATTATAAATCCCTTTTAGAATAAGCGAAGGAGATTAGTCCTCCTCTAACCAAGGCCAGTGTCCTATTGTCTCTGAGATCATAGATGGCTTTTGAACCTTCTTTCCTTATCTTAGATTAAAAAGAGCTATTTCAGGGCCACTCTTAAAGTCCCTTGTCACATGACTGGAATTTACTAACCAGATGTTTCTTGGTCCAGTAGGAACTTTTCCCCCTAAGATGGAAAGCAACCTTTGGAACAATCCCTGGGAGGATTTCTTGAACAGGACATTTTGAAACTAATCCAAGATGCCGCATCCCTGCTCCAAGGGTCAAATCTCATTTTGAGCTAAAGGTTAGGAGCAAATGTGTCTTTATAAATATGTGGTGATGGGTGCTGTTTGGCACAGATCCACCATGTGTTTACAAATACAACAGCTGTGCTGCACACTTAGGGGTTTTGTTGTTTCTGGCACCAGAATGTACGCAGCAAAATAACTTGCCACATAAATTATGAACTGTCTGAGAGACAGCAGTTTTTGTAGCTGACTCTTTCTCCTCACACATATATGTAGCTTAAAACAATGAAGATTGAGCTTATACCGGCCCAGTTGTTGGGCTAGATACTCTTGGTGGATTATAAAAATTTCTGCATAAATCTGTGAGCTAGAACCAGCTTTCTCTTCTATATGAAAATTCAGGGGCTCGGTGAAATACTAGGACTATAAATAATCAGTTACACAGCCTATCGTGGATATACAGGCAAATGAGTTAGACCTGGAGTTGGGAGCTGTGGGTTGAAACCTCTACATGTGACCCTTGGCCTGTGTGTTCTTCCAAACATTTGATTCTTTGCCGCAACAAAGCCTGGAAGAGAGTTAACCCTCATTTTCTGGAGGGGCTGGACAATTCTGCTCATAGAGGGTTTGAGTTCCCTCATTTCTCCTTTTTCATTTGCATTTGGTGAGTTTCAGCATTCTCCCTTCCAGGTTTTGCAAGTTGGGGGGAACCAAACAGCTTTAACTGCAGCTTCGGGGAGGGAAGATTTGGCTTTTCCATGGCCGCTCTCATTTTCCAGATAGGCCCAAATCCTTTCCAAACAGCCAAGCAGACGCTCAGGTTGTGCAAGTGAGACTGGGGCCATCACCCCTCACCCTTCCCCCTGAGTAGGCAGCCTTGGACATTAGCATCTGTTGTTTGCCTGGGGTCTGGCAATCAGTGCAGAGCTTGGTTCTCTCCCAAAAGGACAGAGAGAACTCTTATCCCCCCGCCCCACACCACGTGGACAAGATGACCTTTAGAACATGAGAGCAGCAGGATTGTGCCCCACCCCTTAGTTGGGAAACTGGGAGTCCAAACCCCTCGTACAATTGAGAGAGAGGGATGCAAAATCTTTAAAATCTTGTTTTACCTAAGTTTTTCAATCCAGCCTACCTCTGTCTAGATAGTTTCCATCCTCACCCCTTAGCCACCATTGAGGGCATAGATTAGAAAAAAATCTGTTCCATCAGTGTAACAGTAGATTAACTGAAGTGGGATAATCAGCATGCCTTGATTTCCCAGTCAGAGTGCAAGCTTGGGCAGGCTTACTCAGAAGCACATCTTGCACGTGATCCTAGAAAGTGAGCCCTGGGTCACAACTTCAGCCACTGAGCAATTGCAACATCATGCACCCTGGGCCAGTACTTGTGTCTCCTAGACCACTGTTTTTTTAATGCACATTTTGTCCTTCCTAAAACACCAAGCTGGTGGCAAATGACT